TTGGAATTTGCCAGGCCAAAAGTGGAAAACTTTGTCATCTTAGTGAATTTTAATGAAGCAATTAAAAAATAATGGGATATATTTTCATCATTGATTTGAAATACTCCCTATGGTTCATGATATCATTGAAATATCTGAATCCTCATTGAAGTTTTGACCAGGAGTGCTATATTTTTGAATTCTACGAACTTTTTTGTCTACGAATGAAAAGAAGACCAATCCAAGTATGGGATGGAACTGAGACCGCGTCTAAGACTACATCAATACACAGGGTGAGTCAGAATGGAAACGACAAACTTCGTATACGAATTCCAAATCTCATTCTGAAGTGAAAAGGTTTCATCAACCAATCATCTCTGAGTCAGAAATGTACGAGGAAAATCAAGGTTTATATTAACTTCCCCAGGTCCCCTGAAGAAAAACAATCTGAATTTTGTATACTATTCCAGATTGATCTGTGTACTCAGTTACGGTCGAATGTCTCCATTTTTTCCTCCATATTTTTTTTACAAATAAAATGTCAAATCAGTGTATAACAAAACTCAATATAAACTATTCACCTTGAGATAACGTGTGGAAAAAAGTAAGTTTGTGGACCTACTTCTGCTTCTGTTAACTATGTTTCTTCACCACGAGCTATAAGACATACCATTATTCATTCCTTTTCGTTGCGTGAAGTTTTTTTTTACTACCAAGCTATAGCTATCATCATTTTATAAACCATTACTGGTCAATAAAAACATAACTACTTCTGTTGTAATTAACCCGAATGCACTGTTCTGATCAGAGATTAGGTTAAGGCTTGTTGAATGTAATTACTCATAAGTGAAATATCAATAAGCCTTATGATGTCCCAAACTAATTTGACATTTCGTCTGTCTAAGAAATAATTTGGAGGAAATTGTTGCGATATACGAACGTACCTACGCCACTGGAAATCAAAATCTGGAAATGGAAACTCCATGTGACTATATTGATCGATCTGGAATAGTATGACGAGTTTCAATTCCTTTTCTCTAGGGGTCCCGAAGAAATTAATATAAATCTTGATTTTTTTTTCGTTCTTCTGACACCCTGTATCCCAGAGAGGATGAATTCTAGGACATAGGTGACAATGATTTTCCTCTCGAAATGAGCAGGTTGAAAATCCGTATACGAAGCTTGTCGGTCTTCATTCTGACTCGTGTCTCTATAGATCAGGAAAGCTCTGGAATTCATTTCCTAAGTACGTATTTCCAAGAACTTATAATCTCCAAAAGTTCAAAAAATATTCCAACACCTACCTCATCTTCCTATCCTCCCTAGGTACGCACGATGTTCTTCGAGCATCATAGGGAATCCCTTTCGTGCGCACCAAGCGATAAGAAAAAACCGTATACAGTGGTTTCGTAAATCGCTGGATAAATTAATTCTCAGCTGAATAATAATTTATTCAATAGAGACATAGAGAAAAAAACCCAAAGTCGTCTCCACAATATTTAATTTATAATCTGGCAGTCAATCCTGCTTCATTAAGGTTGATACATGTTTCGGCCATTCAAATGGCCATCTTCAGTCAAAAGAATACAACAAAGTGCATCTACAATAGAAAACATGATTTTATATATAAGAAAAATTGAAACAATTGTAAATTCTTTGCCATTCCTTTTCTAGGAAAGGTTTCCACTGATATTAAAAACATTTTCCATAGGTTCACCAATAATGTCACTATTTGTTTTAAAACCATTAACAATTTGAAAAAACATATCAATAATACCAAAGACTCTATTCCTATTTCCGACAAATCAGGTGTCTACCAGTTATGTTGTTCTCACCCTGGCTGTTCTGCGAGTTATGTTGGTCAAACCGGGAGGAGGTTTTCACAAAGAGTTTCTGAGCATTCAAAAATCATCAATAAATTTCAAAATTCTAATTGGCCTGATGATATTAATTCCCAAAGTTCCTTTGCTAATCATGTTTTCAATTCCAAACATTCATTCAATGCAGAAATTGATTCTCACTTGTTACATGTTTGTTCAAAAAGCAGAAAACTTAATATTCTGGAAATCTTTGAAATCAATAAATTACTCAATAATCCTGATATCATATGCTTGAATGACCAAATTCAATTTGATTGTATTCCCTTTTTTAACTCATTGAATTTTGTTGATTCTTGATTATTTACAATCTTTTCAGTATTTCTCCCTCTACATCTACACATTCCAAAATTAAAATTGAATTTTTCAGACACAGCACGCCATCTGTCTGCTGTCTCACAATTCACTTACAACTTACTGGACATTACAGGTTTCCTTTTAGTAATCACTTTACAGTTTTCTTCTTTCCTTCACTCTTCAACAGGTTCTATTTTCACTTTCGACAGCGCTTTTGCCTTCCATCTTCCATTGTTTCATAATGATCAAGTTACACAGAGCTTCTTCAGCGTCCTATGAAGTATTCAACTTTCCTCTTGGGGGATTGGGCTTTTTGCCTTCCTCCCAATTCCTCATACATCCATTTTATCAAATTTAAATAATAAATAATGATTTAGTAATAACAAAATAATTTTTTCGCCTTCATGATGCATTGAAGTATTTCCACGTGAGTACAACCTTCTTACCTATGGTTCTCCATTTTGTTTTTCAGAATTTTGATTTGACAAAAATTTTGTTTTTCACTTTCACTTTTTTCTCTATTATTGATCAACTATCATTGTATACTCATAAAAATCACTGTTGCTCTTTGATTTAACTGAAATTTGTTAATCAATTCAATTTGAATTTACAATTGTTTCAATTTTTCTTATATATAAAATCATGTTTTCTATTGTAGATGCACTTTGTTGTATTCTTTTGACTGAAGATGGCCATTTGAATGGCCGAAACATGTATCAACCTTAATGAAGCAGGATTGACTGCCAGATTATAAATTAAATATTGTGGAGACGACTTTGGGTTTTTTTCTCTATTGATCATTCCACTCCACTTTGAGCATGGACTACTACAGAAGAATAATTTATTCGTGAGGAATTCCTGACACAGGTACAATTACAAACTCGATTTGCTACATTCATTCTGAAAACATATATATAATAAACAGGGTTTGTATACACCCTAATAGCACGCAACCTCCTAGCGACGTCCTCTTTGGTACAATTCAAGTCCGAATGTCCTGGACCTAGAATAATAATTGTCCTTGGAATTGTCCATCTCGTACGTCTCATGCAATGTCCGAGCAAGGACGTCCATAGAATACTACACATAGTAGACTGTCTATGCAAGGGCGTCCTCAGTATGTCCCTGATTTGTTATAATTCTGAACGTCCCTCTAGGAACATCCATCGGATGTCCCAAGTAGCACACTTTCTGGAAACACTTCAGTTCTTATATAATGTCCCTTCTAGAATAACCATGAAATATCCCAGACGGTACATTTCTTCGAATATATCTGTTCGGACGCATTGAATACTTCCAAGATTGTGTAACACTCGAAATGTCCCTTAGGGACATCCGTCGGATGTCTGAATTAGTACATGAACTGTTATGACTTCGGAAGGAACCCCAATAGATGATCCATATGTTCATCTAAGTAATAAGTAGGTACCAGAAAATCCTTCGGAGAATATCATTCCATAAGATATAATGAGTTCAAAGTCTCATGGACGTCCCGAAGGACGTCCTCAGAATTTCCTGGATACGATTCGGTGTGTGTCCTAAGGGACATCAATCAGTAAACATTGATATCAGGATTAAAGACATCCTATAAAAATGCTCTTCACGCAAACGAATGATTATTTTCAAGGTCCTAGGAATAACGTCCTACGGATGTCCCAGTCGATACACGAGATATGTTGTCCCTGCGAGGACGTTAACTAACACCTTGCCGACGATCGACTGCTCGTAGGCTATTAATACTTCAGGATCTTCGGGGTCTATTGAGGACCTTCTACGGATCATCAGCTCACCTGGATGTTCTCATCTGTTATGCAAGATCTGGTCCGTTGGAGACCCAAATAAATTCAAAGTCAAGATTAATTCTCACGTCTAAAGACATCCTATGAACATTCCAGACGACGTCCTATGAAAGTTTGCGAGTAGTAGTAGTAGAAGTATGATGAAGCTACTAGAATGATTAATAATTTAATAAGAAATACTATATAGAATTCAATAGATCGTTTAAATTCGAGACAAAAAATTAGAATATAAATAATTTTTCTTCGAAAACATTTCAGAAATTCGAATAGTTGTCTATTTTCAACGATCAATTTGAAAAAATTCAAGTTTTGACATGTAGTGGAAGTCACGTGACCCTGACTTTTTAGCAATACCGAATGGGCGTGTACACCTTGGTAGAACTTTTAACTCAAACCATGTTTATAATGATGCTTTTATACATAAATAATAATTGACGACATAATTCGATCGAAAAATTAACTGGAATATTTTATTTCTGGGCATAAATAATAGAACCATCTGAAAACGGACCCTCTTATGACGTAGAAACCTCATCTCGCTATAGGTAAAAGAAAATACCAAACGCCCGACGGAGACTGAGGCAACTGATACATTAATAATTCTTTCTACTGTGATCTCGCGCTGAATCACTCTGTCAGAAATCATGTATCATTCAACTCTGTCTGGAATACTCTTGTTTCAGTATTAGGGTTTTGGCGTCACATCATCGCCTCATTGCATCAGCAAAATCGGGGATTTCAATATTTTTTTATAAAAAGTAGGGAGCTCACAGCAAGAAACGGTATGAGATGGTGAGCTAGTTTGGGTGAGTTCTATCGAATTATGAAATGAAAAATTTTTGTGATATACGCCCATCGCCTCGATATTAGTCTTCCATCAAAGTTCTTGTTATTCATCGCGCGTCTTTAGAGATTACTTGCCTGCCGAATTCGTGACATTCGACAGCTTATCATCAAGCAATAAATAAGTCAGTAGTCATATCTGGAGTACGTAAATTAGCTGCTATGTGCGATGTGGAGTCTTAAAAGCTATGGCGCAAGCACATACCCATGCAAATTAATCCACTGTAGATTCCGAAGCTCTTTGAGTGCGAGGAACGGAATGTTGTCTAGCTGATTATAGCTCAGATCTAGCGAAGTCAGGCTCTTCCATTGGGAACTGAAAGAGACAGATTAACATAGGTAATAAACCATGAGAATTGAATATGCAGAGCGGCGTATTTACAGAATATATCTGGTGATAATGGTAATGTCCCCTATTACCATGTTCAAATCCAAATAATCTGAAATTAGTTCAATTCAAACATAACCAGCGGCATCTGAGATATGAAATTAGGAGGAAAGGTGACGATGAACATACATACATACGCAAAATATCTCATATAAGGGAGCTGAACTATTTTAATGCCTAATGAAGTGAAGATGAAATCAAACTTTTCTGTATGCATATTTTTCGACAATTCAATATCGGGTTATGAAAATCTTTACATAAAAAAGGTAGTCCTGTTCCGTATCGATCAGATGTATCATTTTTGAGTGAAATCGATTCAAAAATATTGTTACATCTCATATATTATGCACACACAAATAAAATCGATCGAACAAATCCATTTTCTTGAAGTTGCATTGCTTCGTACAAGAGCAATATACACTTATCTCGAATCAATCGGCTTGCTCGCTTCGTTTCTTGAAATTTCTTGATATGAATTTGCTCAACATGAACAGTATATTTCTTGATTCAAGACAAACACGACTACAGGTGACATAAATTCCAATTAATATTGGTTCAAGAAAATCTCTGCTTTTCTGAAAGATTTGCAGTGACGTATATACAGCGGTATGCCTGAGCCCATTCGACTCCTCAGTCGTTAGCCGCCATTCGTCATTGCCGCTGTTATTCCTGAAGACGGTGCAAAGCACTTTTGTTTTTTAATGGTGAAGTTTTCAAGAATCGAGTATGCTCAGTCATTGAAAATAGTGGTGTGGTATATCATCTTCACAGCAATGCGGCATTCCATATTCGAGGACAATCTGCGGGGGTAAGAGCTTTGTATATTTTTGTAACATAGTTGTACCTAGTGAGGTGTTTCCTCTTTTCCTTTTATCGAAAACATGTTAAGAACCTTAATATTAATCATCCCTCAAACCATAACATCACTGTCAACGCATATGGCCATGTTTGTTTAACCTGCACAACACAAGGACAACACAGATATGTTCAGTAGTGACAATTTGGTTTTTCTGGTTCAACATTCAATCCATTCCGAACACAGTGACATTCTGGGGAAGAAGACAAGGACAGCAAATCTCAAAAATCTAGAAAAATTAATGTTCCACCTCCTAGATTGAACCACACATAGTATTTGATGATTTTACATCATGTATATGTTCGCATTTTCCTTATGTTATGATAGAATGAGCAAGTTTTGATGATAAGCCTTTTGTTCACCAACTGTAAGAATCAATTTCATTTGATACTCAATACTCTAACAGTGACATTTATTTTCATGTTCTGATTTCCACGAAAAGGGATATGCTGTAATGTTCAGAGAACATCGTGAGAAGCAAGGCAAATGAGGTAGGAATCGGTGTTCCTCTTAAATTCCTGGAGGTTATATGCCTCGGGAAACACCTCCCTTGGTAATGTGTTCCAGAGCCTCGCTGTTCGTTGAATGAACGAGTCTATGGAACGAGATGTTCTGCAGGTCTCCAAAGTGACTACGAAGGGGTGGCCTCAACTCGACGGGTTAATCTCGCGGGGACTGCCAAGGAAGGAACAATTGTTGATAGGAGAGCATCGTCTATGAAAATATCTATAAAATAAAGCAAGATCGCCAACTTTTCTACGGTTTTCCAGAGAAGTGTGCGAGTTTGTGAGCAAGGCATAACCCACGAGACGAATTGCCCTTTTTTGAACAGAATCCAACAGTTTAAGGGGATGTTTGCGAGTTTGAGTACTGCACTCCAAATATGGGAACAGTATTCCGGGACAGGTCGGATCTGTGCCTTATAGATCATGAACAGCTGACTGGAAGTGAAATAGCTCCTGGCCCGAAACAGAAAACCAAGTTTTTGGGATGCACTTATTTTAGCAATTGATCTCACGTGATTTTCCCGAGGAAGGTTATTGTTGATATAGTAATACCAAGCATCGAAATGGATGTCTACAAAGTTATGGTAACTCCTGAGAAGCTTATGTTGGGCACAGTGAGATCGGCTTTTCTAGAGAAAAGGCATGCTTGTGTTTTTTTGCATTGAAATCTACCAAGTTATTGGATCGCCATTCGAGAATTGTTGCCAAGTTCATATTTATGTTGTCAACATTTCTTCCTCGTTCGTTTCTGATTCGCCTGGCTGATATTGGAGCCCTGGAAGAGAAGGCGGTATGGAGGGAGAGTACTATCATCCGCGAAGCTGTGTACTGGACATGAAGTTGCTTCCAACAAATCGTTGATATGGAGTAGAAATAGTGTTGGTGCTAGAATTGATCTTTGCGGAACACCAGTATTTATGATAAAAGCGTCAGATGAAACTCCGTCGACCAATACATGGCTGGACCTGTTTGAGAGAAAACTAGCTAGCAGAGAACATAGCTGGGGAGGCAAGCCATAAGATGGAAGCTTGACGAGGAGTCCGTGGTGTCAGACTCGATCGAAGGCTTTGGAGATATCAAGTACCACGGCTGAGGTTCCATCAAAGGTGGGTTCCACCATATTTTTCAATAGATTGCTGCTATATATGTGAGACGTAAGCGAGCAGGTCACTAGTCGATCATAAGGATCTTCTGAAAAAAGATTCACTCATTATAATGAGATATTATATATTTGTAACAAGCTCGAAATTTCTTGATTCAAGAACAACATTGTTCAATTACGATGGGAGATTAACTTGATAATAGGAGAATTTTTTGTTTCAAACTAATCAATTCTTTGTTCGAACAATACGTACTGTTATATAAAAGGAATATCCATTCAAATCGATATTCCCTTTCATGAAAAAGTCAAGAAACTTCTTTGAGAAAAATCAAACAAATATTTGGTTGGACCACTTCAAGATCTTCATATACAGGGTGAGTCATTAGTGTGGCAAAGTGAGATAACTGGTTTACTATTTGGGATAGATGAATGAAAATTTCACAGATGATCTAGGATCCTGAGCAGCACATATCCAAATTTCTATCAAAATGCTGAATCTTGAACCACCCTGTATTTGTTCCAATTGAATGGCAGTAGATAGTAAATAAGAAGTTGGGATAGGGACATGGAAGCCGTTTTGACCAATATTGAATAGTTTCGACGCAATAAAAATCCTAAAGTTGAATAATCTCGATGTTGAACACCCTATATCTCTGTAATCATTCTCGCTAGACCCCAAGTGTGATACATTGATGAAATCAGCTCACAAAGGAGAATGCGAAAATGCAATGAAATACAGGGTGTCCCATAAGAAAAAGTATAACTTCGATACGCCACGCATTTCTGAGTCACCCTGTATAAAGCGAAATAATTCGGAAATGTGCTGCTCATGATCCTAGATCATCTCTGGAACTTCTGTCTATCAATCTCAAACTGAAAAGCCGTTATCTCACTTCGCCACACTAATGACTCACCCTGTATATGGTTGAATCAATGCTGTTCCGCATTGAATCAAGACACCCTTTTTATGTGTGTAATATTGCACATGATTGTAGTGGATATGGAAAGGAATTAACAGAAATTGAAGTAGTTTTTTAACATCAGTTTCCTATTTAATTCGCTTTCATGAGATTGTTTGGTGAAAATAAAGTACATATAGTTGGGTTTTTTTTATAGCTACTATATTTGATTTGAAAACAGGCAACGTTATATACATGAGATGTGAGTGTAACCATATTTCTGAATATAGTTCATGGAAAACTATAAATCTGATCGATACGAACAGGAGCATATTTTTTTTGTGTAACGGTGTGTATTTTCATAATCCGAGATTAAATCGTCGATAAATATGCATATGAAAAAGTTAGCGCAATATTTCAATTTTGGAATGATTCCATTTTCAATGATTGGGCATGGAAAGTACCGGACCGCATCATTTTATCATATGCGTTCCAAAAATATTCCAGAAACAACATATTCAGGAGTCCCCTCTCTCGTCAGGAGGCGGTAGCTCCCTTAGGAGACAATCCATGTTCATTGAAACTTTTCTTCCTATTTTTGGTCGTAGAAGCCGCAGGTGAAGTTTGGCAGGCTAATTTCGGGACACCCTGTATATTTCAGTCATCTGATGGAATTGAAACATTTTCCTCAAATGGATATTAAGGAAGATCACAATGAATTAATTGATTGAATACTTCTTCTCACTAGTAATCTGACGATTCTGAACATTACGCACTCAGACATCGCTGCATACCTATCGCATATGGTAAAATGATATTATATTCATCATTTGCACGCATTGCAAGTTCATAGAAAAATGGCACATTGAAAATACATGTTCTCCAACATTTGGAATTCGTCTGCTCTATTCATACAACTTCATAGCGATTTCCTTCCGTGCGCTCCAAGAGACAAGAAGAAACCACCAAGTCAAATTGAGACGTTTCAAATGTGGCTGTCCTTCTTATCACGGTTCTTCAAGAACCCTCAATGAAATTCAGAAAAATGATTCATTACGAACAATGAAAACAGGTATAAATGTTATATCATACACATGAATATATACCTTTCATAATATACCTAAGATGTCTCGTGAAGATGTCTCAAAACTATATACACATGTATTATAAGAACTACACTCTGGGTCCCAACAAGCGTCTATAGAATATTAAGCGTAATAAGGTCGAGTATCAAGTAATATTCACTAGTTGTGGTTACATCATAAGAAGGTAGCTACTACTCAGCTACGAGCAAAATAAAAGACGAATAATGAGATAATATTACGGTTCGCCGTCGTAGCTATAGAACTCACACAATAACGTGTAAGCATTACGTAGTGCTTAGATACGTCCGGTCGACGCCGATATTACGTAAATATTATTTTCTTTCTTTCTTATTATGATCCAAAAGATCAATACCCACAAGAAATGAACAAGAAAAATATATCCATCGATGAATGCAGACTCGAATACGCGGAATAATTGATAATCGTAAGGTATAGGTGATTTTAGTCGGTTAGACAGCA